CTCTGGGAAAAGCTAGAAAAGCCGGAAAACATAATGTTTTTCACCAGGGTAATCTCTGGGAATAGCTGGAAAACCAGGAAAAGCTGGAAAACACTAGGTTTTTCACCAGGGTAGTTTCTGGGAGAAGCTGGAAAAGCGATGCTGAGGCGTTGCTGGTGTCCTTGCGTAACAGGCGTCCGGCCATGTGGCCTTGTGTTCGGGCACAGTGATGGTAACCCGTTTTTTGGGTTCCCTCCTGGGTCCGCGTCCGCCACAGAGGGGCATCCGTTTTTGGATGCCCCTCCAGAGTAGCGCCGTGGAAGCGCTTTGCAGTGTCGAAGACTTGGTTTGTGGTGTGGTGTCATCACTGATGCTGAGGCGTTGCTGGTGTCGTTGCGTAACAAGCGTGCGGCCATGTGGCCTTGTGTTCGAGCACAGTGATGGGAACCCGTTTTTTGGGTTCCCTCCTGGGTCCGCGTCCGCCACGGAGGGGCATCCGTTTTTCGGGTGCCCTCCAGAGTAGCGCCGTGGAAGCGCTTTGCAGTGTCGAAGTTTTGGTTTGTTGTGTGGTATCATCACTGATGCTGAGCCGTTGCTGGTGTCCTTGCGTAACAGGCGTCCGACCATGTGGCCTTGTGTTCGGGCACAGTAATGGTAACCCGTTTTTTTGGGTTCCCTCCTGGGTCCGCGTCCGCCACAGAGGGGCATCCGTTTTTGGATGCCCCTCCAGAGTAGCGCCGTGGAAGCGCTTTGCAGTGTCGAAGACTTGGTTTGTGGTGTGGTGTCATCACTGATGCTGAGGCGTTGCTGGTGTCGTTGCGTAACAAGCGTGCGGCCATGTGGCCTTGTGTTCGAGCACAGTGATGGGAACCCGTTTTTTGGGTTCCCTCCTGGGTCCGCGTCCGCCACGGAGGGGCATCCGTTTTTTGGATGCCCCTCCAGAGTAGCGCCGTGGAAGCGCTTCGCAGTGTCGAAGTTTTGGTTTGTTGTGTGGTATCATCACTGATGCTGAGCCGTTGCTGGTGTCCTTGCGTAACAGGCGTCCGACCATGTGGCCTTGTGTTCGGGCACAGTGATGGTAACCCGTTTTTTGGGTTCCCTCCTGGGCCCGCGTCCGCCACAGAGGGGCATCCTTTTTTGGATGCCCCTCCAGAGTAGCGCCGTGGAAGTGCTTTGCAGTGTCGAAGACTTGGTTTGTGTATGAACATGTGGGGAGGAGACAGGTTGAAAGGAGAGGGTGGGGAGGGAGAGGGGGAGGATGAGGAGGAGGAGGAGGAGGATGAGGATGATGATGATGACGAGGAGGAGGAGGAAGAGGAGGAGGAGGAGGAGGAGGGGAGGAAAAGGGGGAGGATGAGGAGGAGGAGGAGGAGGACGACGACGACGACGATGAGGATGATGATGAGGAGGACGACGACGAGGAGGATGAGAAAGAAGGCGAAATGTATGATCACAGGGGGGGGGGCGAGCAAATATATATATATATATATATATATATGTATTATGTGGTCGCCCCCCCCCCAGCACCCCCGAAGCCAACAAAACCACAAACAAACCAAAACCATAACCACAACCAGAACCAACGCCAGAACAACCGAAACCATAACCATAACCAGAACTAGAACAACCAAAACCAGAACCATAAGCAGAACCTTAACCAATGATCGTTTGCTCCTCCTCCTCCCCCACCTCCCTCTTTGTGACTTCGGCAAAACACAAGCATACACAGTGATTCCTTGAACCGAGAGCGCCAAACACTGTGTATGTTTGGGTTTGTTGTTTTTGTTTTTTTGGGGTCAGAGGAGCAAGGCAACACTGTGCATGTTTTGGTTTTGTTTTGAAAGCCCAAATGCTTGCAGGGTCCTCTCTCCCAGCAGGCACTGTCGCTGTCAAAACCACAAAAACAAGACAAACACAAACATACACAGTGATTCCTCGAACCGAGAGCGCCAAACACTGTGTATTTCTTTCTTGGGTCGGAGGAGCAAGAGAACACTGTGTATGTTTCTTTGGCTTTGAACGCCCCAATGATCGCAGAGGCCTCTCTCCCAGCAAGCGCTGGCGCTGTCAAAATCAAAAAAACAAAACAACCAACTATTCACAGTGTTTCCTTGCTCCGAGAGTGCCAACCAATGTGTATGGTTGGTTTTCCCTCTTTGCGACTTCAGCAAAGAACGAAGCATGCACAGTGTTTCTTTGAACAGAGAGCACCAACCACTTTTTGTTTTTTGTTTCTTTTTTGGGGGCCAGAGGAGCAAGGAAACACTGTGTATGTTTTTTTTGCTGTGAAAGCCCCAATGCTCGCAAGGGCCTCTCTCCCAGCAAGCACTGGCGCTGTCGAAACTAAAATAAGCAGAAACAACAGACATATACAGTGCTTCCTTGACCCTCAAACCAGAAACAAACATACACAGTGTGTCCTTGCCCCGAGAGCGCCACACACTGTGTATGGTTGGTTTCCCTCTTTGCGACTTCAGCAAACGACCAACGTGCACAGTGTTTTCTTGAACCGAGAGCGCCACACCTCGTTTTTTTGTTGTGTGTGTGTGTGTTCTTGGTCAGAGGAACAAGGCAACACTGTGTATGTTTTTTTGGTTTTGAAAACCCCAATGCTCGAATAGGCCTCTCTCCTAGCAAGCACTGGTGCTGTCAACACCCCCCCCCAACACAAAAAAACATACACAATGTTTCCTTGCCCTTTCAGACCGAAAGAAAACAATATCAACCACACATACACAGTGTTTCCTTGCTCAGAGATCGCCAACCACTGTGTATGTATTCTTTTTTGGGGGGGTCCGGGTCGGAGGAGCAATGGCACACTGTGTATGTTGTTTTGTTTCTGGGTTTCCCTTGACTGACGTTGAGGGCGTGGGCTTGAGAAAAAAACAGCTGCTCTGGTTCAAGCTGTGTGGTGCGTCATCTGTGGTGCAATCCTCCTCCTCCTCCTCCTCCTCCTCCTCCTCGTAAGAATATGAGAAGGACGAGGAGAGGAGGAACGAGGAGGATGAGGAGCATGGAAGGAAGACAATGACGATGAGGAGGATGCCCCCCACGAGGGGGAGGAGGAACCATGCGGATGAAAAACGAGGAGGAGGAAGAAGAAACGGACGCTGAGGGGGGAACCGCCCTTCCTCCCCCTCGCTCCGCCGTTTGGGGGTGTCTTGGGTGGGCGAGAACACACACACATATATACATCTCTATATACATGTATATATGTTTGTATACATATGTATATATGTATTTGTGTATGTATATACATACTTATACACATCTGTATATGTGTACATGTATACGCATACACATATATACACATGCATGCAACATGACAGGCATACACTGGGAATTCAACGGTGATTGTAATGTAGGAAAACATACCAACGAACTGTCTGTTACTCCTGATGATGTAAACATGGCGGCAGCAACCCGCCTTGAAGGCAATGCTTAAATCATGGAGACATGTTAAGAACGAACGATAACTGAATGAGACAACGGTGTCCGCATGCTCGACCACGGGACCTGCCCACTTAACCATATGAAGGAAGAGGCGGATCCAGAGAGCAAGAACGAGAGAGAGAGAGAGAGAACACACAACACAAGAGAGAGAGAGAGAGAGATATAGATAACACGAGAAACGATGACGACGGGGGAAGCAGGGACGGAGAGGGGGCTTCATGAAAGGAGGACGAGGGCGACAACGACAAGGACGATGAGGGAGGGAGGGAGCGAGGGAGGAGGTGGAGACGAGGACGGGGGAAACGACGACGAGGACCAAAAGGGCGGGAGGAGGAGGGAGGGGGGGGGGGGGCGAGATGGATGGAGAGGAGAGGGACGACTAGAGGAGGAAAGGGAAAATAGGGCGAGAACTAGCCAGGGAGCCCGTGCACTCGAATCGCACGGTTGCATTGGCGTCGGCCGTTCGGACAGTAGTGCAAGCGAGCGGACGGCGTGAGTTCGGCGCGCGGCAACTCCCGCGCGGCGGATAGCCAAAAGGCTGCGGATCGGGCGAAGGCCTTCCCCCATACCTTCTCCTCCTCCCCCTCTGCCTCCATCCATCTTCCTCCTCCTCCTCCTCCTGATCCCTCCTCCGCCCTCATCCCTTTGTCCTTCCCTACCACGCCCCCGCCCTCGCTGCTCATTGCTCCCTGCTTCTCCCCCTCGCCCCTATCTCCTCCTATCTCCATGATCGCTCGTCCCGTCCTTTCCACCATGGTCCCTCCCTCATGTGACCATAAGTGAACATGAATTGCGCGCCCTTCTCTTTGCCCGCGGACCAAAGACCCCTCATCTTGATATGTATTGAAACTTCATCACTGGACCTGATTGTTGCAGAACTCCAGCTTACCACCCCCGCGCCAAACGCGAAGAGGTGGACGGCGGGAGAGGGGAAAGGAAAAGAAAAGGGGCACAATGTGGATGATGAAAAAGGAAGGGCAAAAAAGGTAAATCATACTACCCGCACCCGTACCCCCGACGTCGCGCAGCGCCGCGACGCAGCCTCTCTGTGAAGCAGTCCAGACAGCACAGCGGGAACTGTAAAACGTGAGGCTGTGCATGACCAAGGCGTGCAACACATGAGTAAACGCACAATTTCAACGACGCTTCGGAGGCGGACGGGCGGCACAGGACGGAGACCAAAAATGGGGGAGACGGCGGACGACGGAAGAGGAGGGGAGAGCGAGCGAGGGGAAGCGTCTGGACCTGGCCAGCAATGTATATCATACGCACAACGGCGACTAAAACGCAGGCCGATACCAACTCACCCTACATCATATCACCGGAGCATGGGGGGCTGGGAGGGGGAGGAGGAAGAAGGGACCACAGAAGCATAGCAGGCGCACGAGACGCCAAAGACAATGCAAAAACGAATGCGAAGCTCAGAACACGGACGTGGCAATGACCCCGAACCACGGCGTAGACGGAAACCAGCAAATAGCCCGTGCGAATTTGTTGAACATCACGTAATACTAGAGGAAGACGCAGGAGAGGAACGCGAAGGTCACGACGAACGGGAGGAAATGCTCCAGAGGGCGGCGACAATACGCCGGAGCGGCGCGTCCTTGCCCGCCGCGTCTGTCATGGCTTGAACCCACACATCGCTAGCGACTGTCGCTCGCCCATGCCAGGCGGCATTCGTAGCCATGAATGTCGCATACTGACGCAGGGGATGAAGCGCCATCCGCGAAGTATCATACAGACTAGTCATAAGAAGGAAATCCTGAAGCTGGTCTCCGGCGGGGGCCAGGGCCACTCGGAGTCGGCTCCCCGCCAGCCGCGCTATCACCGGGCAGCTGGCGCAATGTTGCATGGAGTCCTGGCCCGCCTGGCAGCCAAAGCAGCATTGCGCCGCACGGATACTGGGGGCAATACATGTCCAACTGCCCAGTGCTGCCTTGAGAACAGCTGCCCACACGCGTGGAGGCACTACGGGTCCAAGACGCCGGAAGACGTTCAAGCCGCTGGACACGACGGCCAAGAAAAACGGGAAGACACCACCGATCCAGCCGACGTCACAAATGACGATGAACAGCAAAAAACGGCAAATCTCCTCAAGAGTTGGCTTCACGTCCTCTGCCACCGTCCTCTCGGGAGAGGGGTGGGCGAGGAACCCTGCAGGAAACTGTCCACGCTCGAGCGCGCGGCGCCGGCTATGCCGGTCAGCAGCTGCTGCGCCATCTGCACGTTCACGAAGAAATTGCCGGACAGCCAGGGGTGCCGCGCCACGGCCCGATCCGGGAGTTGCAAATGGGCCTGCTTCGTGGACACGCAATGCAAACGATGGCGAAGTCGAAACCCCCCAAACCAGCATCTTCCCACCAGTGGACCCGACAAGTTGGCGCCGAGAGCCGCGGCCTCCATGTTCGGCATGTCCGCGGAGAAACCGAAGCCGCTCAAATTCTGCGGCAGCGCAGGGGGCGTCCAACCTCGAGCGCCAGGGAAGAGTGCGTCAACCAGCCGCAGTTCCTCCTGCTTGCAGGTCGGCGGCAACTCCCCCAGTTGAAAGAGGAAACCCACCAACGGGAATATGTACATGCGCAGCGCTGTCAGCGTGACGAACATGCCGCCTCCGATCCTTTTCCGCACCCTCGCCCTCTCGTGCATCTTGTGGACAGCGTCCTCCCAGGCCTGCGCGACCCTGGAAGGCGCCCCAAGCGCGAGCTTTTGCGGCGATGGCGGTCCGGATCTCGTCGGGCCCCCGAAGGGGCAAAGGCACGATCGCTGACTTCTTGGCGCGGAATCTCATTCGCAATCGCCAAAAAACGATCTCCATCTGCCCATCCTGTGACACACGAGTCAAGACGAGTGCAACGTTGTCTGCGCAGACCCTGATCAGAACCTCGGGTGCCAGGCGGTGGACCTGACGGATCAAGACGTGGGAAACGATGGAGAACAGGAGCGGCGCCACGCAGAGAGAGGACGCAGAAGTTGCTGTCGCACAAGACGGACACAAACCGCCACATCCATAGGGGCCATCCCCTTGTCTCCAAGACGCGCTGGATGAACGCTCCTGGCTCATGCTGAGGAGGGCCGCCGCGAAGTCCAGGGACACTGCCATCGGCCTGTCCTGAGATGCGGCGTAGTCCAGCATGGCCTCTTCGACGTCCATAACATTGGCGATGATGGAGCGGCCGCTCAGGAACCCACGCTGCCCCGATGAGATCCGGGGGCCACGATGGGCTCGATGTGCAAGCGCACGGCGCTGCCAAAGATGCGGTTATCGGTGTTGGTGATGCTGAGGGGGCGCAGGCTGCTCGGAGACAACACCTCGGTGCCACCCTGGAGCGTGTACGACGCCTTCTTGGGCAGAAACACCATGAAGCTCCCATTGAAGGACGCCCATTCCGCCCTCATCCGGTCCAGGCCAGCGGGGGCCACCATCTCCGGATAGACCGCCTCGAAGACGTCCGCCGCGAGGTCCGCGACCTTACGCCAAGCCTTGAACGGGGTGCCGTCGCGGCCCGGCGCGCTGTTCTTCGTGAGCAAAACGACCTTCCGAAACGACAAGTATCTCGAAGAACGGTGGCATGGGGGAGGTGTTCTGGGTAGTGGGAGGTGTTCCGGGTAGTTCGCAGGCAAGTGCTGGGCATCCTCGTGCAACCACGTCGCCATTATTCCCTCGTCCACGTCGCGCCGCCGGAATACTCGTTCCCAGTGCTCCCGGATCAACCGCAGCGTCTCCCGACGTCGCGCATTTCTCTACGCGCGGTCCCTGGAACACTCGACCCCTTCCCACGAATGTTGTCTTCCGGGACTGTTTTTCGGAAATCCTGGATCCCGAAATGGGCCTTCAAATGCCGAGCGCGTAGAACAACCGGCCGTGTTTTTCGAGGTCCGGGAAAATACACCAAGCATCGTGCCTGAGAGATAAAGCATTTCCAATTGGTCGACAGCCAAGGCCGAGCCCAGTCGGAGTGCACTGTACGTAGTGCCCTCGTGCTCTTCATCCTCATGCGCACGATCCACGGTCTCAGCCTCCTGCTCCTCCTGCTCCTCATCCTTCTCTCCCTCCACCGAGGGCCCATCGTGGGGCGCGCTGTGACCAGAATTTCGAGGCTGATCCAGCCATGGCCACGATGGCGCCCCCAGAGGCTCCAAGAGGACCCGTCGAGAAACCTCGATCCTCCTCGCACCTCGATCCTCGACGCGCTCCTCCTGCTCCGCCTCCCCCTTCCTCTCGCACTCGCCGCTGTGAACCTGCCAGTCCGCACGCGCCCTCCCCCCCCAATCTCGGCACTCACTTGACCCGCAATGACCTTCGCTCACGGCCTCGGCACGGGCCTTCGCACGCGCCCACCCCGTCCGCTTCGGCACTTCCCCCCTCCACGCGGGCCGTGCCCTAATTGCAGGGAGCTCCACCTCGGCGCGCGCCCGCGGCGCGCGGCCCCTGCGGAGAGCGTCAGCCCGGGCCGGGCTGCGCACCGCCGCCGCGTGGGATTGGGCCTCTCGCTTATGGGGCCTGCCGCGATGCCGGCGGCCCGGCCCGCCGTGCCCCGTCGCCCGCGCGCGTGCCCCCCCTGCGCGCCGGGGGAGGGCGCGCCGACGGACCGAGGCCCAGGGACAAAGGGGCGGCCACGGCAGCCCTCTCGGCGAGGTGCTCGCAGGTCCGTCGGTCCGTCGCCGGCTGGGCGCCGTTGGGCCAGAATGGCCGCGCCCACCTCCGCCCGCTCTTCTGCCCCTCTTGCTCCTCCTCCTCCTCCTCCTCCTCCTCCTCCTCCTCCTCCTCCTGCTCCTCGTTCTCATTCTCATCATCTCCTCCTGTCCTCCCCTTCTCGTCCTCATTTTCTTCATCCACGCTCTTCCTCCTCCTCCTCCTCCTCCTCTTCCTCCTCCTCCTCCTTCTCCCCCCTTCACTCCTCCCCCTCCTCTTTTCAGGCCGCAGTTCACCTCAGGAGGGTCTGGTCGCCTTCGACAGCAGCTGCTGGTCAAAGCAATGACCCGCGACAGGAGGACGCCACCTGCTGCCCACCCACCCCGATCCTGGCCATGGCGATCTTTGGCCCCAGGATCTGAACATTTGGCGCGCTCCAGAAACCCTGGATCAAACAACATTGATGTCTCGCCTTTACTCACTTCCGCCACGGCCTTCCCTCCGCTGGCATCCGCCAACAAACCCTGGGGGGAACACAAACCATACCTATACCGCCACTTCCTGGACCTCTGCCGGGGGTGCGTTCCGACCAGAACTTCGAAGGCGAATCTGGCCGTGGCGACGAGGGCCTCCCCGGATGCCCGAACACGCGAAGACGACGGGGGAAGAATAGCGTTATCGGTACACGTTGCTCCTCGGAGACCCGCCGCCTTCTTGTTTCCGCCGAGGGCGAGGTGCGCGACAACGCGAGGAACTTCCTGGATCGCCCCGTCCCGCTCCCTCAACTCCGCCCTCCGCGCAGTGCGGCCAGCTTCTCGCCCTCGCGCGCCGCCCTCCCATGAGGAGAGAGAGAGAGAGAGAGAGCAGCCTTCTTCGTCGGTTCAGAGAGGGGGCCCTGAAGGAAGGGGGCCCTGAGGATGGGAAGTGGATCACAACTTTAGCCTTGCCCCCCGTTCGAGGCTCCAAATTCTTAGGGCCCAATCCCTCGTGGCCCCATCTTTGAACTGCCAGCCTCTGGCCCCGACCGCGAGGCGCGAGTCTGCAATGTCCCCCGCGCCCCCCTGCTGGCCATCGCTCGGACGTCCATTCACTTTGTTTTTTTGTCGGTTTCGTGCGTAGTTTTTTCGCCAGATGGTCGAGGATGCTCCTCGAAGGTCCTCGCCGAGAAAGAAAATGCACACGTCCGAGCGATGCCACGAGGAAGGCCACTCCGGCGACAGGTCACTTGTTTCACGTGCAGCCGGAAGGGGGGGGGGGGCGCATGCAGCACTCCCGGGCCCTAGGATTGGCCCGGCCAGGGTCGGTGTGTGAGGGGGGTCTGCGAAAGGGAAGGTGGGCTAGAAAGAGGGGTGCTGCTCCAGGAGGGAGCATCAATTTGGAATCGGCGATACATCGCCGATCGACCCCCGAACGTGGATACGGCAGGTTGCTGCACTGACGACGTCGGCCTGGTCTCGGACACCGGGTGCACCATTCAGTGTGAACGATCTCTGCCCTCCGAGCTCCCAAGCAGCTGCCGACCCCATCTTCGGCGGCGAGTGAGGGGGCGAAAAGAGAAGGAGAAGGCCTTCTCAGAAAGCAGCGGGCCTTCTCAGAAGGCGGCGGCAGGGAAGTCTTCAGGGGGGACTTCCAAGCCTCCTGGGACGGCCCGCCCCTTCTCACTTCCCCCCGGGCTCGCCGCCGAAAACATGGGCACGAGGATCAGCAGCAGATGTGGCCCCAAGCCCACAGCGGCCGCTGCTGTGCAAGCGCCTCCCTGTCTCGCATGGACCACGTCCGCGGCGGCGCCGACGGCGAGCCCCGCTCCAGACGGGCCGGAACTGCTGCCCGCCTTCGCCCCCGCCCTCTCCGCACCCGTGCCGACCGCACCTCTCGAGCTGCGTCCGGCCGCGGCCGCGAGGGGCCCCGCCCCGAGCGAGCAGGCCGCAGGTGGCGTCCTCCGGGGATGCCCGCCGGCCAGCCGCGCCCGCCTGTGCAACCGGCGCCTGCGCTGACGCGCCCACGCCCCGGGTCGCGGGCGCTCGTGGGGGGTCTCGGGCGCAGCCAGGAGGCCCCTCCCCATCTTCTCCTCCGTCTTCTCCACCTCCCCCTCCCTCCCTCTCTCCCTCCCTCCCTCCCTCCCTCCCTCCCTCCCTCCCTCTCCTCCTCCTCCTCCTCCTCCTCTTCCTCCTCCTCCTCCTCCTCCTCCTCCTCCTCCTCCTTCTCCTCCTCCTCCCTCTCCTCCTCCTCCTCCCCACTTCTCCTTCGCCCCCTCCTCCTGGCCAGGGAGCAGCGAGGGGAGTATGGATAGGAAGAGGGAGAGGGATGAGGGAGGGCCCTGCACCCATCTGCCGCCTGACTCGCACATCTCCTGCCGCCTGCGTCCCAGGGGGGGCCCTTTCCTTCACTCCCCACCTCCTCCTCCTCCCTCCTTCTCCCCCCCCTCCCCCTCCTCGCCGCAAGCTGTGGCCAGTGGGCTGGTGAGGCACTCGCGGCGTGGTGCTTGGGGAAACCGTAGACCTCATGGGACTTGCCTGAGAGGTATCAAGTCGGCACCATTCGGCCACCAAGGGGCTACCCCGCCATGCCAGGGTCTGGTGCTGGGGCCGGCTCCGTATGCGGGGGAGCGTCAGGCTCGTGGGCAGGAAAAGGTGATGGGCCGATTTTCCCAGTCCTACCTGCGGCAGTAGTGGTGGAACATCGGCCCATCAAAAATGGGTCCCATGCCTGCTCGCACCGTGTGCCCAGCACGGTGCTCGAGGGGCTGCCGCGGTCCCCGTCCTGCAGGGACGAGCGGGGGGGCCCGGGGCAGTCGGCAAAGCCGCGCTGCTGTCGGAACCCGGGAGGGCGCAAACGTGGCGGGCAGGGCTCCGCGATAAACTCGCGCTGGGCGCGGTGTCCTGCAAACCGAATGCGACGCACGAGCCCTTTGTATCACACGAGCCCGCCTCTGAAAGCTGGAGCGCGAGAGGGTTGCAGCCCGCGAGTTGCGCCGTGCCCGCGCTCAAAAGCGCGAAGAACGTGCTGCCCGTGCCGTGCGCGCGCTGCCCCGTTCTGCTCAACTGCGAGCCAGGCGCCGCCCGTGTGCCGTGCCCGTGCCGTGCCCGTGCCATGAGCGCGCGGTGCCCGCATGCCGTGCCCGTGCCACCACAGCGGCCAGCCGCACCGTGCTCGCGCACTCCGATGTGGACTCGCCGTGTGACGTCTCGTGCAGCGTTGCTGCTTTGGGTCCTGCACTCTGGATGGAGCGTTTGTCAGGGGGGGTGGGGATGATTGACATTCCGACGAAGCTTGCCCGTGCACGCCCCCATCCCTCCTCCTCCTCCTCCTCCTCCTCCTCCTCCTCCTCCTCCGCTTCCATCAACTCCCCCTCCACCCGTTCCGACAGCTCGTGCCCAACACCCCCAGCGGATCCAAAGGAGGGGCGATTATTGTCCCATTCAGATTGCGCGGTGTAATTTGTCATGGGGGTCGCGGGGGGCCGCGGCCGCGGGCGCAAGCGTGCCACCCACCCGCCTTGATGCTGCCTCCCTGGGCCAGTACATTGAAAGTATATTCTGCCGAAGGCACTTTGAATTCACCTTCGGCGCTAGCCCGAAGGTACTTTGCAAGTGCCTTCGGGCGTGCACTGACAGGTGCCTTCGGGCGCCTCAGGGAAGCGTCCTGGCAGGTACCTTCCGGACCCCCAGGGAAGCGTACTTGCAGGTACCCCTGCCAAGTTGTGTCTCATATTGCTGTCCTGCGTGCCGAAGGACGCGATGCAGATGATCTGCAGGGCTGCGTCGCCTCGATTAGCAGCGCTCGGGATGGCGTTCGTGAGGTTGTCTGTTTTCTTGCAGGGGTGACCTGCTCTTGACAGTCCGGGGGACGAGCGAGACCTGTATCGGCGCAGGGACATGTCAGGTCGGGGGCCTTCGGTGCCTGGCCTGAAGTGTGCCTGCATCGCTCGGTGCAGCGCGGCCCCTCCGGCCTGGCCGAGAGACTCCACAAGGTCCCGCCTCCCCGTTCTAGGAATCCCCAACATGACGTACGAGGCCAATCA